CCTACACTTGTATATTTTAGAATTATATACATATTTTATTTAGACTTGCATCTCAAGATCACAACTTATACAAAAAGACACATAATGAAAAGGATCTGGCAGGATCACAGCAAGCACAACCGAGTATCAGTTGCTAACAGTTCAGCAGAAATTGATACTAAGTGACCTAAATAAAGAAATAACTTAATCTTGTGCTCACCATAATCAAACTAAGATGTCAATTGTACAGTTTCTATACAATCAATATTTAATGCAAAACTAGTTCTCAGTGCTCAAAAGCTCTGTTTGGATATTGATTCTGGAAGCACATTTTCTCAAACAAAATAATTTAGAAGTTATGAAATCAAAGAGCTGTCATCAAAATTAGTGTTTCTCAGGCCACCCTATGTGGGGGGACAGACAGGCATTTTTTTCCCGGTGATTCAATGACCATCACTAAATTGTATTGTCGAAGGCTTTCATGGCTGGAATCACTAGGTTCTTGTGGGTTTTTTCGGGCTATAGAGCCATGTTCTAGAGGCATTTCTCCTGACGTTTCGCCTGCATCTATGGCAAGCATCCTCAGAGGTTGAGAAGGTCTGTTGGAAGTAGGAAAAATTTATGGCCTCTTTTTCTCCCAGGAACCTGCCAGGGATCAGCAGCAAATGGCCCAGGGATCAGCTCCGATTCAAGGACCCTTACTTTGAATAGCACTGATCTACGTAACAAAATATGGAAATGCAAACACAGAATAAGAAATATCTTTTGAAACAACATTTAATATTCATCCTACCATCTTACACGGAATTTGCCCAAGACTGATATTCCTTCTTCATTTGAAAACCGTTCTTTATACAGGACAGTTTGGAACAAGAAATTACACCAATATCCAATCACACAATTAAAATTACACAACCCTTTGACTGTACACAGAGTTTCGGTTATTGTTATTTCCTTTCTAATAAGTTTCTTTTTTTTTAAAGGAATATGGAAAATCAGATGTTGCTTGCTGTTGCCGTCCTTGATTTAAAGCAGTGTTTCTCAACCTAGGAGTCAGAACCCGGGGGGGGGGGGGGGGGTCATCAAAGATCATCAGAAAACACAGTATTTTCTGTTGGTCATGGGGATTCTGTGTGGGAAGTTTGGCCCAATTCTATTATTGGTTCGGTTCAGAATGCTCTTTGATTGTAGGTGAACTATAAATCCCAGCAACTACAACTCCCAAATGTCAAAGTCTGTTTTCCCCAAACTCTACCAGTGTTTACATTTGGGCATATTGAATATCCGTGCCAAGTTTCGACCAGATTCATCATTTGAGTCCACAGTGCTCTCTGGATGAAGGTGAGCTATAACTCCAAAACTCAAGGTCAATGCCCACCAAACCATTCCAGTATTTTCTGTTGGTCATGGGAGTCTTGTGTGCCAAGTTTGGTTCAATTCCATCTTTGGTGGAGTTTAGAATGCTCTTTGATTTTAGATTAACTATAAATCCCAGCAGCAACAACTCCCAAATGGCAAAATCAATCCACCCTGCTCCCAATCCCACTAGTATCCAAATTTGGGTGTACCAGGTATGTGTGCAAATTTGGTCCAGTTAATGGAAATACATCCTGCATATAAGATATTTACATTACGATTCATAACAGTAGCAAAATTACAGTTATGAAGTAGCAAAGAAAATAATGTTATGGTTGGGGGTCACTACAACATGACGAACTGTATTAAGGGATCACAGCATTAGGAAGGTTGAGAAACTCCATTTTTAAAGGCAGGAAAATACTAGGCTAATCTCAGATTAGGGCAAATTCTAGACCCAAAGCTCCAAATCATTTCTAAGAATTTTGGCAACTAAAATCAATGGAGTTATTTTGAGTTTTCACCATATTAGCCTCATTACAAACTCTAAGTTTGAAAACAATGAAGAAATCCTCCAATCCAGATTGCCACCATAGACATTTATTGTTACATTCAGATGCAATGTTATTAATCAACCAACATACCAAACCAGCTTCTATCTACACCAGAGCCTCTCAAGATGGACAAATGGACATACAGGCAATAAGCAGCATATGTTTAGAGGTGCTTAAATCATAGGCTGAAATCTTAAAACAGTTATCTTGGGGCACTCCAACCAAATTCACTTCTAAGTAGACATCTATGGGACTGCACTACACATCACAAACTTCAAAAATTGTATGAACCAAAACATTTATTTAGGAGATTCAAAATAAACTTCTCTTTCTAAAACAGGAGAAAAGGAGCTATGGCACCAAAAAGATTCATGAGTTGTCTTCTGACGCAAAGAAGGCTGTGTGTGTAACAGGCATTTCAGTCAGGACTGAAACTTTGATAAAAGGGCATCATGAAACAAAACAAACAGAAAGGTAATTTTCTCTGCAGCAGGCAAGTTGCTTTGGGCTGATGAGGAAGTCTGCCACTGAATTAGCCATTGAAAGAACTCATTATCAGTGCATGTTCACTCTGGCAAGTCTGTCACATGCTCCACCCCTCCCTTTCCCAGAGAAGACACTCTTGCTGCTTCAAAAAAAAACAAAAACCAAGCAAACCTAGAACCATTATTGTCCTTTAAGATGGTAAAATCGCTCCGGCGCTTAGAATCCTCTGATTTTTCTAGGTTGAATGCTCCAACCTCAATGCACAGTTGCTCGGCTCAAACATCGACAAAGACGTGAAAATCAATCAATTCAGAATGCATCTTTTCTGCTGGGTGACATAACACATGAAAATACTTTTCCCGGGAAAAAAGCCACAACAGAAAACCTTCTGGTTTGGTTTTACTTCTCCAAGTTTGTGCAATGATGGTCTTTTCCAAAGTAGAAGACAGGGGAATGTATAAGAGTGAAGTTTTCATAAAGGAAAAGACTCCAAGCACCGTGAGAAACTAGGAAATGTGCAAACTATCTTGACCACTAAAGGGGAACCTTCCAGTCACCTATTTACTCCTCTGCAGAGTGGAGTTGAGCATTGTACACTTATTTGTGGTTTAAAAGGGAGAGGAGGTTACACTGAAGTATCCCTTATCCAGAATTACAAAATCTGAAATTTTCCAAAACTGGCTGAGAAAGTGACACCTCGGCTTTCTGATGGTTCAGTGTTCAGAAACTTGGTTTCAAATTACTAAAAATGTTGTGCATCAAATTACCTTCAGGCGACTTGCATAAGGTACATATTAAATATCAATGAATTTCCCATTCAGACTCAGGTCCCATCTCAGAGAAATCTCATGATGTCTATCAAAGTAGCACATACATCTTTGGGGGGGGGGGGATTTGAAATCCAAAACACTTCTGGTCCCAAAGATTTTGGAGAAGGGAGGCTTGGCCTGGACTTGCTGGCAACAGGCAGTAACCCTTATCAAGCCTGACTGAGGAAAGCAAAAGGAGAAGGGGGGGGGGCACTCTACACTGTAGAATGAATGCAGTTTGAGACCCCTTTTAACTGCCATGGCTCAACACTATGGAGTCATAGGAGCTGTCATTTGACAAGGTCTTTGGTCTTGGGTTGCTGTGAGTTTTCCAGGCTGTATGGCCATATTCCAGAAGCATTCTCTCCTGACATTTCACCTGCATCTACAGCAGGCATCCTCAGAGATGGTGAGGTCTGTTGGAAACTAGGAAAGTGGGGTTTCCAACAGACCTCACAAACTATGAGGAGGTCTGCCATGGATGCAGGTGAAATGTCAGGAGAGGATGCTTCTGGAACATGGCCAGACAGCCCGGATAACTCACAGCAACCCAGTGATTCCAGCCATGAAAGCCTTCGACAATACAGTCTTTAGTCTTCTTTGCCAAAGAGTGCTGGTGCCTATCAAAAGACAATTCCAAGGATCCAACAGCATTGAGCCATGGAAGTTTTGTCTCAAACTGTCTTCAGATGCACCCAAGGAGGGGGAAACATGGTGGCCTTTCACAAGTCCTTCAGGCACCTTTAGGGTCTGTCACTGACGCACAAGGGCACGAGGAAGAGTTAACTGCAAGAGTCACTCCACAGCAGAGCCCTTTCTCCCCCCCCCCCCCTCAGCCTCCTTTTGTCCCTGAGAAGCCACAGGGAGGGCGGGGTGGAGGGAAGGGGCTACCCCAGGCCTGGGCCAACTTGGGCCCTCTATGTGTTTTGGACTTCAACTCCCACCATTCCTAACAGCCAGGCTACTTTCCTTTTTCTTTTCCTCGCTTAAGAGGCTGAGGGGAGAAAGGAAAGGGCCTGTGACTATAAGGAATGGTGGGAGTTGAAGTCCAAAACACCCAAAGGGCCCAAGTTGGCCCAGGCCTGGGGTAGCCCCTTCCTTGTGCCCCAAGGGTGGGGCAGTGGCGGCCTAGAGGAGGGGAAGCGCCGGCCCAAAGGCTCCCTGGTCCCGGCAGATGGAGGGAAAGCGTCCCGGGAACTCCCTCAAGTCGAGAGAGAGAGAGAGAGGGAGGGAGAGAGGGAGGGGGGGGAAGGAAGGAAGGAAGAAGAGGGGAGAGGAAGATAGGAAGAAAAAAAGGAAGGGAAGCGAGGGAGATGTAGGAAGGAAGGAAAACAAACAAACCCGGGAACTTTCTAAGTCGAGAGGAAGAAGGAAGAAAGGAGGGGGGGGGGGAGGAGAAAGAATGAGTCCGAAGCGCAAGGCAAGGAGAATGGATAGAGGGAAGAGAAAGGCACTCAGGGGCAGCCCGAAGAGGGAGAGGAAAAGGAAAGAAGAAGAGGAAAAGAGGCCGGGGCGCAAGACAAGGAGAGCGGATATAGATAGGGAAGAGAAAGGCATACAGGAGCAGCCCGGGGAAGGAGAGGAAAAGGGAGGGAGGAGAGGGAGGGAGGACGGAGGGAAAGAGGGAGGGAGGCCGAGACGCCAGGCAAGGCAAAGGGAGAGGGGCACAGAGGCAGTCCCAGGGAAAAGAGAGGCGCCCTGGCTTCTCTCTCCCCCCCCCCCCCTTGTGCTTTTACTGGCGAGGAATCCTCCCGGCGAGGGAGGGGGGCAAGGTCTGTGTGGTGGGCTGGGCTGGGCTGGGCTGGGGGTCTCTCACCGAGGAGGAGCAGCTTGACCTCCCTGGCCGCCTTCTCTCCGTCCTCGCGGAGGTTCTTGTCGATCATCTTGGAGCGCTCGGCGGCCGCTTTGTCCTCGGCGCTCACGGTGCAGCCCATGGCGCCGCCGCCGCGGAGCTCCTGCTGGACGGACGGACGGAGGAGGAGGAGGAGGGTTCCCGTTGAGTGGCCGCACTGGTGCTGCGCGAGCCCGGGAGAATGAGTGGATCATGCTATGGGCGATGACCTGCGGTGGAGCTACTTGGTGGGCGCCTTCGGGTGCTGTTTTTTTCCTTCTTTCTCTTTTCCTTTTCTTTCCTTCTTTTCTTTCCTTCTTTCTTTTCTTTCTTCCTTTACTAGGGGCTGTAAGGCGTGCGAATAAATGGGCGGTGACCTCGGAACGCGCGGATGGCTTGCGCTCTCCGCACAACTCTAGGCTGTGTGTTTAGGAGTGAGGTGAGTGGAGAAGGAGGGTGCTGGGGCTGCCTCGTGCCCGCCTTTGTCACAGTGGGAAGGTAGAGAGGGTGGGCGGATGTGGAGTTGGAAATGGGGATAGACAGGACGTAGTGGATGATGGGGCTCTGCTTTGCAGGCAAGAGGCTGCCTAGGATAAGAAAGGTGATGGTGTGAGGTAGGGAAGAGGCTATCGAGACTAGGTTCGCTGCTCTGCTGGCTGCTTGCTTCGCTGTGCTTGTGCGTAGCGTCACACTGGAAAGCGGAGAGAACGAGGATGGGTCGTGCAGAGACTGCGGCCGCCAGCGCACTGTGGCTGAATGGAATTGTATTGGCGTGCCGCTTTGTGTGCTGACGTACTGGTATTCTTGCGCTAGGTGCGTCTAGTTGGTGAACGGATCACCAATCATCCTATGGGCAGGTACGAATGTTTGCGCAAGACCTGTGAATCTCGGAGTGGGGATACTAACCTATCTTCCGTTTATATGCATATATAATAGATGCTGCAAGTCGCTTCTGGTGTGAGAGAATCAGCCGTCTACAAAGATGTTGCCCAGGTGACGCCCGGATGTGGAGTTGTCCTGCGGGGAATAGTATGAAAGCTGGGTCCGGAAGCTCTCAGCGTTACGCTGTTTCCGTATCGCTCCTTCGGGAGCGCTATTTGCGCAACACAGATGTTAGAGAAGGAATGTAAGAGTTCTTTCATGGTAAAGCCCTAATCCTTACCCTAATCCTAACCGTTATCCTAAACCTTACCCTAATCCTAACCCAAACCCTAAACCTTACCCTAAGCCTAACACTTACCCTAAACGTTATCCTAAACCTAAGCCTAACCCCTTACCCTTAACCCTAATCCTAACCCAAACCCTACACCTTACCCTAAACCTAACCCTTACCCTAAACCTTATCCTAACCGTCGAAGGCTTTCATGGCTGGAATCACTAGGTTCTTGTGGGTTTTTTTCGGGCTATAGAGCCATGTTCTAGAGGCTTTTCTCCTGACGTTTCGCCTGCATCTATGGCAAGCATCCTCAGCTCTGAGGATGCTTGCCATAGATGCAGGCAAATGTCAGAAGAAATGCCTCTAGAACATGGCCATATAGGCCGAAAAAACCCACAAGAACCTACTTATCCTAACCCTCCCCTCCATTCTATCCTTCCACCAACTGCAACTATGAAGTATATTCCCGCCCTCAGTGTGCCCCTCTCCCCTTCCATTATTCACAACCGCCCTTGTGGAATGTGTGTAAGACTCGGAGCTTCCGGACCCAGCTATCATACTATCATCCTTCTTTCATCTCCCCTCTCATGTCATGTTCTTCATGGGAAGTAGCAGCCAATAATGAAAGGACCAAGGCAGTGACATCTCCGGCCATCCTCTGTTTGGTTATCAGCCAGCATGCCAATAAATCAAGAAATAGTTTTCTAAGATCTACAGAGATACTCACAGGAACATCTCAGCAAGTGAGAGTCCAAAAGTGGCAGGCTAAAACCAAGCACCTCAAGCCATGGCTGATACCAAATGAGAGACTCCCCCCTGGGCACACAGAAACTGACTTGGAAGGCGCTGAACAGATTGTGCTCTGGCACCACGAGATGCAGAGCCAACCTTAAGAAATGGGACTACAAAGTGGAGTCCACAACATGCGAGTGTGGAGAAGAGCAAACTACAGACCACCTATTACAATGCAGTCTGAGCCCTGCCACTTGCACCTTATAGCAACACCAGAGGCACTCCAGGTTGCCAGCTTCTGATCAAAGGACATTTAGCATAATGCCAAGTTTGTGTTTTTTCAAAAAAATACATTATAGCAGTACCCTCAGTCCACTTCTAGATCTAGAAATTTTAGTCCAAAAGTAGTTTTAATGTATTAATAATAGATTAATTGAATGATTTTAATGTATTTATAATTGTTTTAATGTATGCTAGATGTATATTATGCTTTGTTTTTATTGTTCGGCACAGAGTGGTGCCTGTTGGTAGCCGTCTTGAGTCCCTGTTCAGAGGTGAGAAGAACGGGATAGAAATACTCCTAATAAATAAATAAATAATAACTCCAAAAAACCTGGGTTGAGTTCTCCACAGAGTCAATGTGAGTACTGTATGTAAACTCTTATCAAAAAAGGAGTCATGCCCATCAAGTAAAGAGCTTTCTCCATCTCGGGAAAACCTAAAAGAAGCACCACTCCTTGGCTGCCCCCTGGGGTGGCCTTGGCCCTTTCACCTCTCCATGGAAGGGTCCTCAGCTTATCCATAGTCCTATCAACATCCATAAGTTGGCCCCAAACCTGCCTTCAACTAATAGGTGGGGTCAAAGTCCATGCATTTATAGGATAATTCAGCCCACATGGCTCTGCCCCATTCCCTGTATCACCATCACATAGTTTATTCTTGTTTGTTTTCCCCTGACCTGTGCTAAGGTGGAATTGCTTGGCAATTAAGAACCTCAAGCTAAAATATTTCTTGGTCCTGCCCTTTTGCCTTTGGCCCTGCCTGCCACTGGAATGCACCCTGGGAACTCCCATTTGGCCTCCAGGCAGGAAAAGGCTCCAAAGGCCTTTGGTGCATGAGTTCCCTGATACTGCAGCCAAAGTGAGTTTGAGCAGCAACTTAGAAGATGGTCTTCAGATATAACACTCTGAATCTTGAAATCCCTTTCTGCAGTTTTCACAGCATTCTGCACAGTCGTAAGTCCGTGTAATCCAACTCTTCATTACAATTAATTTGTCTGTTTACAAATCTTGAAAGTTTAAAGAGTATTGATTGTGCAGAATAAATTACCTTCTTTTTGTACTGTTATTTCCTACTTTATATGGAGTGCCTCCAGCCCTACATATTGAACCAGAACTCGTTAGAGTTACATCAGAACTCCTATAGATTGTACATATTGAATAATTAAATTATTGCCATATGTAAGCTGCCTTGAGTCCCCTTTGGGATAGAGAAAGGTGCGGTATAAATGGGGTAAATAAATAATTAAACCTCTCAGGCAACTTCTGAGGATGCCTGCCATAGATGCAGGTGAAATGTCAGGAGAGAATGCTTCCAGAACATGACCATACAGCCTGAAAAACCTACAACAACCCAGTGATTCTAGCCATGAAAGCCTTCTACAATATATTAAAGAAATATTGTTGTACAACATCTAGGACAGGGGCAAGGACCATTTTGTCCGTCCCCCGCCCCCCCCCCCCCCCCCCCCCCCGCATTCCAGATTGCCTCCAAAAACCCTGTAAGAAGGTTGAATGTCATTTTCACAATGTTTGTAGTCTTATTGGGAGTACAACAAAAGTTGGGCAAAATAAATTCAGAATACATCATCTGACCCAAA